CCAGGAAATGGCTTGTCCTTGCCATGGCCGTTGATAGCTTCTTCCGGAACCGCAGTGCCGGACCATGTCGAGGATGAACTGTTTTGCAGTATTTCGATGAATTACGGTACATTTTTGCGACAATAACATCATAATAAGTTTTAACCAATCAGTTTATGGATGAATTTTTCAAGTCCTGGATGATCGAAGGTTTGGGTAGCTTGCCCAGTGAGTCAAACGAGTGCGATGTTAGCGATGTATGGGACATTGAATGGTGTACCATATAACACTAACAATAGAGGTAAATTGCTATACTCGGTTCATCTTTTGGCTGAAGGGTAACGGCGTAGAACTTTGAACCATTCCTATTCGGGTGTCGTTGGCGACAGCACGCCTCGGTGATGGAGGGAGAATTTATGGGGCTTGCTGTTAACAGCCCTTTGGGCAACGCTATAAAGACGAGAAAAATGCATCTGATTTTAAGGCATTCTCTCAAAGCCGCCGCAACTCGATTTCTTGATTACCCGAAACTGGAGGGATGAGCAGGTCAACCATAAATCCATCACAACGGCACCCAAAACTTAGTACAAGGCGTATTGTCAATTTTAATCTGAAGGGTATGATCGAAATCGTGCATCTGCCTACCGTCGACGATCATAACGACGAATTGACAAGCATAGTAAATTTGGAACAGTCATAGCAAAGGACATCTTTAATCAAGTAACGGAAATCCACAAAGAAAAACGATAAGTGTGATGTGAGACGAAGATTTTCACCCAATTTTTGGTTCAACTTCGAGAAAAAAAAGCAACGGTTTCTATGACGATTCCAGAGCGGAGGACAAAACAAATAGCGAAGCCGTATGTTTTTGCAAAAAAAAGACGCCCGGAAGGAAACAGTTGCGCGTAACACACAAGTCCGTTAAAAACCCCTGATTTTTGTAAAATTTGATAGCTTTAAAGGTATTTTGCAGATATTGTTTCTGGGCAACACTTAAACCGCCCGGTACCTCATGCGTACAGAGCTGGAAGCGGAGATCACCCAACTCGGGACATCTCCACCTGCTGCTGTGGACCTGGAGCCCAGTGTTGCCGGGCCCGTAACTGCACCAGCGATCCGAGCTGGGCGATCAGCTGGATCGTGGCGTACATGACCGCCGCGCCGGCCGTTTGACCGTGGTGATGGAAACGTGGTCTTGGTGCCTAACATGGGCGCCGCGGTAAACCAAGCAAAACAGCGAGAAAATATTGGAAACAGATGCTGGGTAGGACCAGGCCCGGTAGGTTTTCCGCAATGCCGTCCTAAAGCGGGTACCGTGGGGCCCGTATAGGCACCTGTTGGGTCGACTCACGCAGCGACTGGACGAGGTCGCCCGTGTGGACATGATAGCGGACCAAATGATACCGCACTGCATTCTTCCGTGTGTTTACGGAAGCCTTGGTGGGCTTCTCGACTGACCAGGCGCGTGAAGCAGCAGACGCTTTCGTCGCATTTATTGATGGCGAACTAGCGCCACAGTAATTTACTTTATTTATTTTTTTATATTGTTGTATGTATTTTAATTTATTATACTGTGATATTACATGCTCTAGTCACCGTGTCACTATAGGTCACTTTTATGCGCCCCAAAACTTCCGGTCTAATAAAACAGTACTAAGCAAATGTTTTCTACAATACTCTACGGCATTGTGGTCCATAATATTATAATATCGTTAACGCACCAGGCAGAATCAGTTTTTAATCCAACGGAAATTGCTGTAGAAGTGCTTAGTTAATCTGAAATAATGTACAAAGGAATGCTGGCACTGGGGTGGGTGATGGAGTATCACCGCCCGTATGCAGTAACTCAGCAAGTCCAAGAAGGCCTGAGAAAAGGACATACGTTGACCAAGCTCACTGTACGACCCGGTGGGAAAGCACTTCGGCTACTTTAAGAGGAACATGGGTGCCCGAATAAAAGGGCAGCGTGCTGAGCAACTGGGATGGGAGCCGACGGACGCGGCGAAGCTTTAGGTATGGACTTTTTGCAGTCAAGGCGAGGGATTTCTGCCCTTGTGCGCATCCACTCCCGTGGCCGCTCAGATGAGCTAAGTATAACACAAAAATAAATCGATAATCTCCATCTGCACGAGCTCCTACTCCGCTTGCAGCCGCCTAAGGGAGTCGCTATGTCCATGTAGTGAATAACGATGGAGGTAGCGAAGCACTTTGTGACGCAGTAAGGAAGATCGTGAACAACTTGCCGCCGCGTCAGTGAAATCCCAAGCAGTACAGTATCGCAAACCAATCTTTTTCGGTATTCCCTATTGTACCGCAACCGCAACTAAAAGTATTTCTTATTTCTTTCTGCCGGTTAATTTTGTAAACTTCGAGTAGTTTTCAGCGTTTTATTTTCTTTTCTTCCTACGATTGGAACAAAGATGTGAAATGCCCAACGTATGGCACGAAAAGATCATCTTAAAAAAGTTTGTAGAATATTAGTACTATGGTTGATAACCATGAGGATTTTGATGTATATAACCATAATGCAGTTTTACACTTTGGTGTTCACTCATACTGTTACAGTGCCGTGGTAAAAGATGACTTTATATTGTCTTAAATATAACCCTGACCAACGGTCTATATGTAGTATTATTATGCACGTATCTCCTAATATCACAGAATAAATCAATCAATATGCGAGCGATGAAATGCGACAAACCGGCATGAAAGGATGTGAACAATTACGAGTTATGGTATTTGTATCAGTGTGTAGTTGAAGGTGCATGTTTCCGTCATCGAAGGACTTGCTTTCCACGATGCCACCACCGACAACCTTTACGCCTACCGGGAAGGAAGACTGCTGATATGCTTAAGTTAGAACCGAGGACCATAGGGAAGTCCTGGTGATTTCCATTTCCAGAATTTCGTCAACCTGCAGCAAATACCGGAAACGGAACAGAAAGAGCTCTTCCTGGATTCCCTGGGAGTGAGCCATTGGAGATGTTTTACTCAATGCGTCTTCCGGATGAGCAGGACAAGTTTACTCAGGACCAGATTATCCAGAAGCTTGAACAGCCGTACGTACGCAAAAAAGGACAGGGAAGACGGCGGAAGGGCGAACTGTTTCACCCTGCGGCAAAGAAACTGACGAGACGCTGCTCGGCTTCTCAAACAGATTGAAAAGCAAGACGGTTAAATGCGGTTTGTCCGGCGCATGTTCTTGAAAAAAATATGAAAGCAACCTTTCTGAATGGACTGGATAATGATACAACCTAATGCCAAAGGAGTTCGACACGCTGCAGAAAGGCTCGGAGTTAGCGGATCAATTAGAACTGAGTCCCAGGTGAAATAAAAGAAAAGCAGCAGGAACAGCGCGATCATATCGAGAGCAGTGAGAGGAAGAGCGACCGGAAGAGGTCATGCAAGAGAGAAGGCCATGAAGCCATCAAGCGGAAGTAAAAGCAATCGGGAGGGGAGAGAGATGAAAGAGGGAAGCGAGGAGAGAGAGACGGCAGAAGAAAGAGGAGAGAGAAGAAACCAGTGGACGTATTGGGTGAGATGGTGATCGGCGAGGCTGCACGAGTTGCGGAAATCTGCCGCATAATCAAAGGGACTGCTGGACCAGGAACGCTGTGTGCCAAAACTGTGGTCGGATCGGCCACATTGCCCGGATGTGCGATAAGCTGGACAAGAGAGACCGGCGCACTAACCGGATTCTGTCGGTAGAAGAAATTGATATTTTTTAGAGATCATCTTTAGTTTTTGAGGTGGCTTTCCCCTTTGGGCAGGTGTGGTGCCGTGATAACAGATATATTGGTAATTATAACCTTGACCATCGGTCTGTATGTGCCTCCCAATGTCAAGAATTAGTCAATAAATATACGAGCGAGAGAACACGACACCTGTATGAGCATTTAAAATAAACGTCGTATTTCCCATCTTTTGACAAACTGGCAGCATTGCAAAGCTGGGCGGACGAAGACGTTTGAAAAAAAAGTTTTTCAGAACGAGCGAAATTTCAGAACTTGGCGCAGTGGCCGAACAGCCGATGCCGGATGACATCGTTGCAAGCACTTTCCCGGACGTTCCAAGTTTCCCGCCATTTACTGTTAGACCTGAAGCTGAAAGATAGACTGAAGCTTTGTAAAAAGCAGTGAAGCCGTCAGCTATACGAAGAGACACTGTTGTTGTCTGCTTTCGCTGAAATTTTTGATCTGTTGCCTTAGACAATTTGTCTGTAATGATGGTGTTACTGTGAGAACCTGCGGTTGACTTTTGATCGTCTGTCGGCACTAAAACCAAGAAACCTATCGCGCGTAGCCGTTTACGTAAGCACATTTTTACGGTGGGTAGAGCTCTCACGCGTAGACCTGTCCTTTAATAATTCGAAATATTATTTTCCGATGCTTTGATCTCTTCTATGGCCGCTAAGGATCATATATGTCACGACTGCCTCAACTCAGGTAGATGCCGAAGCTGCTATCTTTCCTAAGGCCGAAAGCCACAGCATCTGCTAAGGCCGAAGTTTCGAACATGCAGATGGGCAATAGTTTAGCGTAGTAATTGAAAGATAACCACTTACCTCCAGGCAGACATGTGTCCAGGTATTTGTCCAAATAAAAGGAGCGGATAACCCGTAAGTTGCTTCGGTGTGGTATATATCGGGCTGGCAGCTACCAGAAATTTTTCACCTGTGTACTGATGTCACTGAACTACAGTACAAATGGAAACCGAGATTGTGGGTGTGGCATCTGTTGGAATATTCCGAATATTCCTTAACACTCTAACTGGGATTTCTCTGTCGACCTATTATGACTCGAATGTGAACAATTAATAACAGATTCAACATCCCTTAATATCGATTACGAAAAATAGGACTAATAAAACTTAAATCCCGTAAATCATTGGAAAGACAACAGTATAAACGGCCGGGTAACTCGTAATTTTCGTAATTTGTAGTTGCTAAACAACCATCGTACAGACATTTGGTTTTCTGCATTTGTACCATATAATCGTATTCTTTAATTATTTATCAAGTTATTTTATTATCTTTAATTATTTATCAAGGCCTTTTTGGCCTCGGCTTATTCAGTGACCCGGCTAGTAACCGAAATTACCGACTTCGACCCGGAAGTGTACTGCGACGACGCCAAAGCTGAGTGGCAACGTATGACGGAAGTCGACCTTCCAGCCGTGGAAGCCCGAAAATTTCAGAAAGTGTGGGATGAGCCAGTCATACAAACTGCCGTGAAGACGCTGTCTGAAATGGCCCAGTCAGGCATTTCCAGCCAAGCCCGGCTTCTAGGTGTAAGCACCAAGGACAACGGAGCGTGGCTAGATGCTCTACCAGCTGCATCCCTGGGGAACCTTTTAAACGATTCCGCACTTCGAATTGCTGTTGGCCTGCGCCTGGGTACACCGATCGTAACTCCGCACCGATGTGTCTGCAATGAATGGGTGGACGCTCGAGGTTACCACGGCTTGAGCTGCAAGAAAAGTCGGGGCCGGAAGTCTAGACATAGCAGCTTAAATGCCACGCTTAAACGAGCTTTCGCCTCAGCCACCATTGAGACTGAACTCGAGCCTTTGGGAATATCGCGAACCAACGGCCTACGCCCTGACGGAGTCACCTCGGTACCGTGGGAGCGAGACAAAATGTTAACATGGGATGTGACATGCGTTTGTACGATGGCTCTCTCCCATATCGCTGGAAAATCCACGCAAGCCGGCGCAGCAGCGGCTCAGGCCGAACGGGAAGCCGAGAAGTACCAGGAAATCACTCACGATTACTTGTTCCGAGCGGTCGGCGTGGAGACAGTGGGGCCACTCGGACCGGAAGCCTCCCGGCTGATTAGCGAAGTGGGCAAGATGATTTGGCAGGAAACAGGCGAGAAACGTGCAACAGAGTTTTTGCGCCAGAGGTTCAGCATCGAAATTCAACGTGGAAACGCGGCATCCATCCTGGGAACGGCACCGGCCTCGCCTAATTTAGATCAAATGTTCTCTGTAATCCGGCCGCATGTTTCTGCTGTTTGTTAATATTAGGATGTGATGTTCCTTTTGTGAATTGTAAGCTTATCTTTGTATTCGATCAATAAAAATGCAGTTATTTAATAATAAGTGATACTAACATTGTAAGTATTTCGTACTTTATTCAACATGAGTACGTTTCGCAGAGCGCCATGGAAACTAATCAACATTTTCAAATAAAAAAGCAATCTCACCTCGCGAGAGGAAGCCATAACGAGCCAAACCAGGCTGAACATTACCATGCCAAATTTCAAAGCTTGAATGTTACAAACTTACAATAACAAAATTGAGACCGCGATTTCCCGGCACGAACAAACATTTTTCCGATTTTTTAAACAAAATATCGATATCGGCACTTCGGACCACTACTTAATTGATAGGTACGTCACGTGTGTCTTCATGTTAACTGTTCTAGTAAATCCGAATAAACTAAAAGGTCCCTGCCTAAATGTCGCCTTGACCTTCAAATATGCTCAGTACAATTATGGTTTTCACCTTATGTGAGATACGTGGTACATCAAACATTGTGAGCGATACAAGAACATCGTTAGCATTATTCAATCAGTCGTGCGGGAGTAGATCAGTATTTGCTTATCAAAATAATAAACAAACTTAGTACCTGCAGACCAGAGTAGCAAAGGTCACGGCCGTCCTGACCTTAGCAAGCGCTGTGAGGCCCTGAAAGCCGCGCGAGCGTTGCTAAGAACGAGAAAACGCGTGAAACACGATTGATAATTTACACTTTGTATCTGTACAGTATAACAGCTAGCAGTAGTTTCATGTACAGATAATTTCTGCTAACGGCCACATGCAACAAACATGTGATAAAACGTTTGGTTGTCTCATGGACCGTTAGCGAGTCTTACCTGTGCCCGCCACCCGTTATGTAAGGAGGTCACTGAGAAGATTCTTAAGGAGTGTATTCGACGGTAACAGATAAAAACATAAAATTTAAAAAAAAATATATTTTTTAAAAACTTAATAAATTAATATAATAAGAGGCGAATAAACTTCCTACGGGACATGAATTTGGAGCTTCCATATGCAGCCATACTCTGGCTTCTTCAAAGCCCATAAACAGTGCACTATGGTAGTACTGTTAACGGAGTACTGGTAGATACTAAATATTGTTTTTACCGTAGCTGCGTCATTGAATCGTATCTAACATTAAGAACCAACGAAGTGGTACAAAGATGATAAACCTGGAGAATTTCTGTCTTTTGATATTGCCGATCGAAGCGCCAAAATAAGAGGAGCCATGCTTCAAGACTGTTCTCATTCTCATTCTCGTTCTCGTTCTGTTCTCGTTCAAGGAGCAGTTCTCATCATATAATTATTTTTAAGGAGGGTATGACATATGTACGTACAGCAGTGGACTGTACAATGTCGCTGCACCCTATACCTAGCAACCGATGTACAAGTGCTTATTGCCTTACTCAATTTTTGTTATAATTTTGTTATTAGTCGTACTAGCCGCGAGTTGGTTAATAAAAATAATATATTTACCGCTAAGTGCGCCACAGAGGGTAATAAAGTACGAATTACGAATCCAAGCTTCCCACAAAAAAACCACGATTGTACGGCGCTTCGGACTATGAAACGAATGGTGAGGTTCATTTACGACGAAACACTTCCGTGTAGATTTCAACAAAATGTCTACGATTTTGTAAGTCTGCTGTTCACTTGAATTTATTCTGCTGGTTTTCACTGCTACCATGATTGTGGTATACAGTATACTGGCACTTAGTGCATGAAAGTATCTACAGTACGAGGACACACTAAGTATACGTGATAGACAAAAAATTAAGCGAGAATAAGTGATAACCATGCCCGGCTCATGCAACGCGGGCAACCACCCAGGTTTGCAGTTGCTTGTAAGCACATAAAAAATGTCTGACTGAAAATTATGCAAACTTTCAACGCTGGTTTCTCGTGCAATCTGGAACGTGACTATTCAACCAATATATCAGAAGACGCAGAAAAAAATTACACGATTTTTGATACCAAGTAAGTGAGAAGATACGCTGATTCAAACAGATTACAGCTATTTTCATTTTCTCGTAGACTTAGCATAGAATCCACGGTCAAGGGTTCCCCACACAGATTCCTATGCTATGTCTACGAGAAACTCAAAAACGCTATCTATTGTCTTAATCGCTATAAACTGCAACTTGTTGGGTATCAAAAATCTTGTAGATTTTTTTCTGCATCTTTTGCTACATTGATCGAATTGTTTCGTTCCATATCACACAAGGAATGAGAGCTGGAAGTCAGCATACGCGTCTCTGAAGAGCTGTTTACTAGGCAGTACTTGGACCGCCAACCCTTGGTGGCTGGGCGTGCTGCACAACACGTGATTGGTTATCATTTATTCTCGCTGGTTTTTTGGTCTATCACGTATACTTAGTGTGTCCTCGTACTACGTTTTATGAGATATTGTTGTATTGCTTACACAATGCCTGTATAGCAATCTGTGTTATTATAATATTGTTGTTACTTCCCAGTTACCTTGATGTACTTATGCCGATCATTATTATCAATTAGATGGCCGAATCCTGCCTAAACCTGCGTAAATGTGGTGCAGCTATTCGTCTGGCAAACCAAGCTAGCAAATTCGATACTCAGCATTACAGACCTCTGTAGACGTCGGCATCTAAAAGCTTTCAAACAGTTTTGTAAAGCGGAATATGAAAACTGGCGACGCCATCAGGATCGTTCTAATTGTACGAAGTCCCGATTATTTGAGAAAACCAACTCGTCAAAAACTTCATTGATATCTTAATTATGGCATCGCGAGCAGCCTATAAAATTACTCCAGAGGGTATTACGAGCCCTTTTTGTCCAACTGAAATCGTTACTGCTGAAAATCCTGCTGAAGTAGGCGAACACTGCGAGCACGAAGGAATTATTACGTTTTAATCCTAAAGTTATGAACTGGGACATGTGGAAGGAGAATTACAATAACTCTGCGCCATACCTATGATTCATAGGCTATGAATGAATTTTTTAACTTGAGCGCATTTGTCCTGTCCTAGGTGTCTAGGTGTCCCCACTAGCCAATAAAAAACTGAAGGCCCCTCTACAACGCTTAAGTTTCTTGGTATTATGCTCGATTCTGTTACACAGACACTTAGTCTACCGCATGGAAAACTGAAGGGTCCAAATAGCCCTCCTTATATGTGGAAATCTAAAAGTGTTTGCAACCTTACAGCACCGCAAAGTCTAATGGATCTCTCATGTTTGTTTCGAAATGTGTGCCGATTGGTCGTTCGTTTACGAGACGGCATATTGCAGAATTATCAGAAGTCAAAATCGTAAACGAAAATAAAATCAGCTTTGACCACGGTTTAAAAGGATAGTGACTGGTGGATTGAGTTTCTTCCAAAGTGAAAATGGTACGGCAGAACTGCTCGAACCAGATTTATCTCGTTGGAAACCGATCCAGTTGCATACTGATGCGTCAAATATTTACCATTGGTTGTGCTGCTAGTGGCTACTTTAATGACGCATGCAGGCATGCTTAACTTCGCTGGTCAGCTTACGTAATCAATGCAAAAATGTTTATACAGGGTCTCGAGATGATTCCTATACTTGCTGCACCGATATTATGGGATCAAAGCTGATTAGTATAAAGGCCCTTATGTAAACGCTATCTCTATATATTATGAACTCAGGATTTTTGTCACCTGTTTTCGAACAACCAGATTCGAGTAAATATGGCGGCAAAAGTTCAGAAATGTTTCATGACTGTAGCAAAAGCCAAGACCTGCATCACAACATGGAAATTCTGCGACAATATACTTGTAAACTGGTATATGCCTTTGTTACCGTGCAATTTTATTGATCACATCGATGGCATCCTTAAAAATGTCATTGCTGGCACTGGAAATACCGGAAAGGTTGTTGTGTTTTCAGTAGCAGCCGTTAAAGGTTGGCAACTAAAACGAGAGTGCATTACCCCCATATGCGTGGCGCTATTGGCCACAAGATCGAGTCCCCGAACTGTCAGACGAAAAGGCTTTTGGCAGCTCAAATGCTTGTACTGCCGCTGTGCACCAATTTTAAAATTACTCTGAGTACCGTAGATGTAGATCAGTGCACACTTATTCTCTGTCAGACTATGTGCAAACCACAACTTTTGTTTTCACCGCCAGTTAAAAATTTCATATTTAACCGTAGTTCGAACTTGGGGATGGTTACAGGGTTGTAACACCATAACGAAAGCGGGAACATCGTTTGCTCCTCCGTGGCGACGATTAATAAACGATATGACAAATGCTTACCACACCGGGGCGAAACGCGCTGGATTGGTGAAGTGGAATTGGCCAGTGAGATGTTACCTAAGGAAATGCCTTGAACTTTTGCAGTCGACGCTCTATCCACGCGCCTTGGAAAGGTTAAGCGACAGCCAAAGGATGGGCAGGTCACCCACAAATCCGTCACAACGATAATCCAAAAGTGGCTGCAAGTTGTAAGTCCAACTTAAACTTCTTAACGGTATGATGGAAAGCGTTCATCTGCATTCTGCACTACCGTGGACGATCATAACCACGAGCTCACAAGCATCGTAGCTCAACATATTCCAGAAAATAGATGGCTGTCAGCAGTAGAAGCAAATACCGTCGAACAGCTGCTTACCGTATCATCAGCGCAGTCGTTCCTTGAGATATAAGAAAAGCCAGTAACTGGAAAAGAACGTATACGTACAGTACTTGGTGTACTGACCAACCAGTACTTGGTGTACGTCGCTATCCAGAACGGAACCGTGAAATACGGCTACGACAGATAAGTTCTAAGCTCAAAATCACGAGAATTAATAACTCTCGTATTCAAAAATGTCTTTCTCTCTCGTACAGCAATTTAGTGAGCTGTTAGTCGTATGGCAAAATAATACTTACTGTAGTTATGAATGTCAGCTATGAATCTGCTGTCCAGAAGTCGAGCATTTTCAATTACAAATTCATATATAGATATACAACCACCAGTGTACGAAAAAGCTACGTTAACCAAAATAATG